CATTAAGTCAACATTTCTCCCATTTGTGTGGGATCAGAAGAATCTGACAATTTGGTAGAAAGAGAACAGATGCTCAGACTCCTGTCCCAGACCTCGCAAGTCAGAATTATGGGGTTAGACTCAGGCACCTGTATCTTCCACGTGTCTCCCAGCATACTTCCAGCACCCAGCAACGATGAAGAAACACTTGTGCAGGACCACGCAAGAAGACAGTGAGACTGCAGCATGCAAAATTCAAGTGCAGACCCAAACTGGAAAGACAGTAGGACAGCTGTATTCCACAACACCACATCCACGGATTCAAAGGAGTTACAAATATTCAGAAAGAAAAATGGTGGCTACACTATGTACATTTTTATTTTCTAAACAGTATAGTGTAACCAGGATTTACATTGTACCAGGGTATTATGAGCAATCTAAAAATGATTTCATATGCACAAGACCTTTTTTTTATAAGGGCCTTGAGCTACTGCAGACTTTAGCATCTGAGCAGCAGTTGAGAAATCAACCCTTCCAAGGTACTGATACTGTATATTCAAATGGAACACTTGGTCACTGAGCTACTGTAATTAAAGTGATTAGTACGATAGATTCTACACTTTCATAAATGAACATCAATTTCTCCACTCTTCTGGTTTTTAAATCTTGCATTTTTTTTCACTTTTGTCAATATGGAACACCTATTCACACAGGATTTGACTGTGCATCAAACTGGTTCAGTGCCCCTTCCTAGCATCTTCTAGGCAAAGGGAAGCGTTTGCTGACAACAATCCAGCTCTTCAGAACAGGGAATCGTGAGGCTGGGAAGTGGGGTGAACCAAAAACAGCCACCTCAGCTTCTACAAACTGTTGCCAGCAGGTGTAAGTAACCCAGGCAGCTGGCTCTTCCCCTTTTTCACAACTCTTTGTACAGTACATGATCTCGCAGCTTTTAAATGGGTACCAACTAATTCAAATGTTTTTTAGATCATCATTTTAAAATGTACCATTGAAGCCCAACAAAACAAAAATTCAACAGCCCAGATTTCACCCAAAGACCTCAAATTTGTCATCCATGTTTTGGAAATACCTAGTTCAGCATCTGAAATCAGTTAACCTTCAAAAAGTACTCTCAGAAAATGTCATCAGTTAGCATATGATATTATTATCTTCTTTTTTTTTTTTGGTACCAGAGTTCAAACTCGGGACCTTGTACTTGCGAGGCAGGCAGCAGCACCGTTGAGCTAAATCCCCGGCCCTGCAAGTGATATGCTCTCCACCTCTAGAAACCATTTTCTGCCATTGTTTAAACTATGGTGTTCACCCAAGGAGCCAATTGGTAAGTTCATGTGCTCATTCAGGAGGTATTTACAGAGCTCCTGCCCTGCACCAGGCAGTCGGAAAAGTGGTGAACCAAACCTTAGCTAAGGTGGTATTTGGCACAGCACCGTAAAGAGTATATATGAAGCTCATTTCTCAGTCACTAGTAAATATTAAAAACATACATGGCCAAAACCTACAATAGCATGATACCTCAGAGATTTCTTTTTTGGTCCAGATGAAGGTGAAGTCCAAAAAAAAAAAAGGCTGAAAACCGTTGTGCAGGGTTCCCGCCTCATGTCCGAGTCTCCGTGCCCCTCCAGTGTAGCCCACACCCACACAGGCCCACACAGGACAGGCACCAGAGATGAGCAAACCTGGTTCCAGGAGACTGAGGACCTCAGCCTGGCAAGTGTTCCTCTAGACAGCAACAGCACTGCCTCCAGAACTGGTTCAGAACCTCTGCCTCACTAGTGGAGAATATTATTTCCAGCAAGTCAGAAGCCATTACTTTTTACATTAGAACATACATAAACAGCAGGAAGGTGAAGTGTGGCTTATACCTATTACCAGTAGAGAGAGAGAGAACAAAAAGTCCAAACAGCCAACATTCACAAAACAGACAAAGAACATCAGTGTCAGTAAAGCAAGGAAAAATAGGTCTCTAGATATGTGGGGTCATGAGCGGGATTTACGTCTTCACTAGAAAATCCTACCTTTACTCTGAAATTGCCACACAATGCAACCACGTGGAGCACACTGCAGGAGGGAAGTGAAGCCTTTCCCTGAAAGGAAGGATCCAAAGGGTTGTTACTGCCTAACTTGCTTCCTGTATTTACGACTTTTCCCCCATCCGATTTTTCTGAGACAGGGCTTCACCATGTATTTCAGACTGGTCTTGAACTCACTATGTAGCCCACACTGACCCTGAACTCATGGCAATCCTGCCTCAGCCTCCTGAGGGCCAGGATTACGGGTATATAACACCACACTTGGCGATGACTACTTTCTAACCAGGTATTACCCTACAAAACGTAACCCTGTTCGTGAAAGCCATACCATACCTATCTCCAAAAGCAGGAGAAAAGGGTGTGCCTTAATTGATGAATTACAAAATTAGGATGTGTTTCGTTTTTGGAAGCCAATGACATGCAAAACACTTTGGAAAAGATAAAAGAGTGAGTGTGAAGTGACAGACAGGTGCACTTGCCAGTGAGTTCTGCCATCATCAAATACAAAAGCAACCTACAAGGGCTAGTTTCCAAATGAAATGATGAGTGAGTTCTATTCTTTATACAGTATTTTTCTTTTCAAAAAAGCAATGTTTAAAACTACAATTTTAAGCATGTAACATATATTTTTAAATAATGCAAACCTTGTGATTCCCCTAACTTCAACTCGCCGTGATGCTAAAGTTAGAGAAGCTCTACTTTTACAAAATCCAGTGCAGGAAGAAACAAACATGTAAAGCTTATCTTTTCATGTTTTCCCCCCATAACTAATATGATATTTTTCCCTCATTGTTTACTGGTACATTTTAGGTATACAGTACAGTTACATTCATTATTGGGATCTTGTACCTTTACGTGACAGGACTTGGTTCTCATTTTTTCCCCTCGTCCCTGCCCTCCCATAACTGATGATTTTCTGCTCCTTAAATATCTATAAGGTCCTTGCTCCACTATCAGATGAAAGCCTTTCCTTTTCAACTTAGAGACTATAAAATTTTCTCAACCAACTAAATTCACAAATTTATTTTAAATTAAAAAAACCTTTAGATCCAGAGTGTTTCTGATGGGAAGTGTTCAAGACATGTTTCATGCTTAAGAAGACATCCAAACCCTCACAAGGGGCATCAAGAAGCCCCATACTCAATCCAGTGTTTGAAATCAGACCTTGAGATGCATGGTTTACATTACTGGGACAAATTATACCAAGTGCAAAAAACAGCACAAGGGGGCCAGGGATTTTAGCTCAGTGGTTTCACCGCCTGCCTCGCAAGTGCAAGAGCACGAGTTTGACCCCCGATACCACAAATAATTAACACAAGGTAGAAATATGTTAACCAGAGTAAGGCTTTTCAGTACTAGCTTTCAGGTCAAAGTTCACAGTGATAAAACTTTATTAAATTTTTAACAACACAGAGTGAAAATAAGTACGCAGTATCTGAAAAACAAACACTACATGATTAGGAAAAATGGGATTTGATTATTTTCTCAATTTGTTTGCATATAATCAAAGTGAAATACAATCTAGTTTTCTTGTTTTTGGTTAAACTTCGTATTTTCCTCTGCAGTGAATTAGAAATCATTACAAAAATGAGACATCAGGTATCTGAAATACAGAAGGCACTGAAATACAGAGGTTCCCAACTAGTATGGTGTGAATCACTCACAGGTACGTTCCAGATTTTAAATGTGTAAAAACCACTGAACCACAGCGCTCATCAGTGAGAATCTCTTTCCAGGCCGCAGAAGATAATTTCTATAACTTTGTGGCCACCCACTGGTTCTGCCAAGAGATGTGATCAGAAGTAATATCCATGCCAGCGAAGAGCATGTGATTAACAGCCTTTCCGAGTCCTTCCCTTTGTCTCTCAGGAAAAGCTTAAGAGTGGCTGTTCCACCAGCGTCCACTCTGATCCTGCCAACTGGACACTTACACAGCATGTGGGCATTAGGCAAAAATGCCTACTGTTTTAAAGCCACTTTAACTGGGAGGGTTTTTGTCACAACTCTCCTGAGTGAAGCAAAAGAAAAGTAGCACAGCTACAGGTATGTGTCCATGTCCACTGGGCTGTGGAGAGGCTCGTCCAAACCTGGTAACACAGGGCTGGAGATTTAGCTCAGCAGTTCGGCGCCCTGCCTTGCAAGAGCAAGGACCCAAGTTCAATCCCCGGTACCAAAAAAAAAAAAAACAAAAAACAAAAAAAACAAACCTGGTAACACAGCTGGGGCCTAGTAGGTATGTGGAGGAAAAATTGTATCACTATATGAAAGTGATGCGGAGGAAGCTTCTAGTATTTTCCCCTATATGAGAGGCAGCCCTTTGGTCAAAAGTCTCGGTGATCTCACACAGGTACTCAGTGCTAAGGACAACCAAATTCAACATACTGTGAATAATTTCAATGTTATCCTTCATTCCTTTAAACGGGGCACCATAATGCTTAATATGTGAATGTGTATCTTTTTCACAAATACTGTAAATTACTTTTAAACCCTGCATCAGCACTGCTAGGTCTTTGGACAGCAGCTTCATCACCACTAGAGGGAGCCATATACTCTGTTTTTTGTCTGCCATGGATCCATAGAAGGATGGTGAGAAACGCTGGGCTACTTACTGGCTGGGTACAATTTATATCCCATCTGTGGCTTCTCTAAACACAGTATTATGCTGGTGCCAGACTAGATGGATAGTCATCTGAGAAGGTGTGAAACCTTCAAAGTGTGGACTTAGGAGGTCTGAAGTGGGGACAAGAAATACATTATTTTTTACCAAGGCTTCCCACATGGTTCTGGCACAGAGCTGAGTTTGCTACCACTTATGCGGGAGACTTCAACCGACTGGTCCTTCTGGAGTTCTGCCATATGCAGGGCAGCGACTGTGACGGGGCTCGATCTGTCTGGCCCAGCTCAGTAACAGGACCACCTGAGAATAAAATTTCAAAACACTTCACAATAATCACAGGGACAAAACGTGGCTATCATCAAATTTAAATTTATTAAGACATTCAGTTATGTCTGTCAGTCTACACCCAAATCTGCTACTAAAAATAAAATAAAATCACATCCCACATTAGGAATATCAAGTCTGAAAAACACTTTTTGAGCCAAGCCTATTGTATAAATAAATGACTAGTTTCTTTTCATATCAAAATTCCCATAAAAAAATTATATTCCCCCCTCCCCAGTTCTACCTGTAGCCATGATGAATGTAAAAATTTAAATATGACACATCCTTGTCAAAGAAAAGGTGCAAAGTCTATTAACAGCTTTAAAATGGCATTTGCAGAGTGTCATCATACAGTTATGTACTCATTCCCAAAGTGCAAATATTGCCATAATTTAACACTGCTTTGATTCAGTTGCAAGAATTAACATTACACAAGATTGAAAAGTACACCCAGGGCTTGTATCAGTGCACTAAAGCCCCTCCCACTTTGGCCTCCTTCACGAGAGCGAACTCCAAAGTGTTCATTAGAGTTTCAGATTACGTCACACAGCCAACAAAGCATACAATATATTAACAAAAGTTCCATATACATCAAAATAATGAAGACTCCGTCATGAAGTTCAAGAGTCTCAGGTAACATGAATGCACTCACGAGGCCCATCACCCACCCACCCCTTCCCCTAAAGCACATCTGAAGTATAAGGGTGCTTCCATCTTTGAATACAATCAGTGCTTCTACATCTTTGATTTCACTGCAGTGCTGTACAAAACTCAATTATCAACTGACTGAGTCCCAATTAAATGAAGGAAAAGGGGATGGAAAAAAGGGCTGGTCGCTACTCATACTTTATAACAAGAATGATCTGGTCCCATAAAAAGGGAAAGGCCAGTTCCACTTCTGCCCAATTCTTCCCATGCTGTCCTCATGCTCTTTATTCTTTTCCTTCGCCCCTTTCAAACATTTAAATATGATTTTACTTATGCCTCATAAACCAGGGGCCATTCCTGAAGTTGATGAGGCTGAATTTTCTTGGCAAACCTCTAGAAAACATCAGCATAAAAGATATAAATACATTCGGATTAGCATACATAGCAACATTTCTCCTCCTATGTCAAGGGATGAAAGCAGGTGGTTTCCACTGTGAGTGCTTCCTAGAATCGATCACTGGAATATCAGTTTCCTACCTATTCATTCCACACACCTACTCCTCAGATCTGAGCATGAATTCCATCTTCAGCCAACTTCTCTGGAACACCAAAGGGTCACTCCCGCTTCTTTCTCCTCTAGGCGGATTCAACTGGACATGCTTTGTCTTTCGTACTCTCAGGGTGCTCACCGGGGCTGGCGGCCCCTTCCTGGGTATCTGGTCTTCCGGCAATGTGCTCAGTACGTTCCGTGGACCCTTCGTGCACGTCAGTCCCTGGAGGATGCTCACGGTCTGGGGGCTGAGTACCTTCCTGAAGCATGATGTTTTGCTCCGCTCCAGCAGGAGGATGTGGAGCTGGGTCCGTCCCTAATCCTGTAAGCTGAGAGGAGTTTTTGAGGTGGCAGTGGCACAGAGGGCAGGTCTCCTGCACATACAGCCACTTCTTAAGACAGCCTGCATGGAAGAAATGACTGCACGGCGTGATCACAGCTGATTTCATGTCCTAAAAGAGGGGCCAAAAACGTACCTCATAAATGTCTACCATCTAAAATTTTTAGCGCTACCTACCCCCCAAAGTTCTGGCTCAATGTAACACAAATAAGAGTAGCTATAACACAAATCTTGAAAGTCATTTTACTGCAGTAATAATGCTACTGCTACCAGAGATCCCTTCTACAAATAATGGAAGAACCAATGGCTAAGTACTTTTTTTAAAAAGTAAAAATCAAAAGTAAGGAAGAAAGTATGCCGTTGGTATGCCTCCAGTGTAATTATAACCTCAGAACAGCTGAAGACAGGACTTTTTCCACAGTTACACTTCAACACAACTGAACATATTATCCCGTGATGAGACTATTCGCAGGAGACAAAAATCAGCCACATAACACCAGGGTATTGGCAAGGAAATGGCAATTTTATTAGAGCCAACGTGTATAACCTAGTTTTAAATACTTGGTCTGTACAAGCTATTGTTTCTCAACATGCATCAACCACTTGCTATCAACACATATTCTTGGAAGACCCCAGATCCATTCAATCAGGATATCTGGCCCATGATTCATACATCTGTAGTTTTCTTAAAAAGCCTCTCAGGTGACTTTCACGTGCACAAGTGTCATAACCGTCAGAATAAAAAGTGACACATTTTCTATTAAGATTTCTTATATAAAATACATATAGAAACTGAGGACTTGAAGTTGAAATTTTAAGGATACACATTTGATGAATCCACCATTAATTTTGCTTAAAGTTCCAAAACAATGAGAAATATCCCAGAAATTCCTTGCCAAGAACTGGTAACAAACAACTGGGAGTGAAGTCATAAGCAGAAAGCCATCCAAAGAAATGCGGCCAGCTAGAAAGCTAAGCAGGTCTACTCTCATATTCCAGGTAATTTCAGCAGGGAGTTCTAGCAACTCAAAAAAGTGATGTGACAACAAGAAATACAAACTGAGGACTCTGGAATCCCAAAGTGGAATATTTAGACACTGGTTGCTAAAGCTGATGTGCCCTGTGTCTGTTTTTGATGGGCTTTTTTCTAAGTGCACAATGAAGCTATGTAGCACAAAACAGCTACAGAACACTGTAACAACAAACAGAACTACAAGAAGGGCACCCCAACAGGGAAGTGGGGGCAGGGGAAGGGGCGACCTTATTCCTCATCCCCCTCCAATGCAAAAATAAGCTGCCAAACACTTGTACTAGAATTCAAAAATATGTTCGAACCATGGTAAATATAAACATATATATGTGTGTGTGTGTGTGTGATATATACTATGAGAAAGAATTCTTATTCTTCATAGTTTTAACCACATTAAAAATACAAACACACACCACCTAAACTGCGAAAGTAGCCCTGAGAAAGTACATTCTCTGTGCACTCACTGACACCATGATTTCCCTCTACCAGCTCACTCCTTAAGAGTGATTTTAAGTGGAACATTGTTTCTGCTGCTGTTTTTGTCTACCCCAACACTGCAGTTTAGCAGTAAAAGCTGCTGCTCAGTTACCCTCTTGCTTAGGCAACTGATGACTAAACTCTACAGTTTTATTTTATTTCCAAGATGGAGGTATTATGTGCAAATGGTAACAGAAGGCAATCAGCTCTGTATGAGGCACATGCCTAAGACGGCAGACAGGCCAGCTCCAAGGGTCCCCCCAAAGGTGGCCTCTGCCCCCTCTCCCCACCCCAAACATAAATGCTTGCAACCCCCATCCCCAGCAACACAAAGGTAAGCACATTCTCTCTCCACCTGCATGAAGTACATGACACCTCTTCCTCCCAGTCCCGGAAATACTAGAAGAGTCAGAATCATGGCACACCACTTTTCAGAAGCTGCTAACTCCTGATGATAGTATATATTCTATAGTACACATTTGTATAAGTGTATGTGGGTATTCAGGAGTAAATACAAAATACACCTAACCTGTTTTTCCTTTTTTTGTGGGTGAGCAATAATGTTGAAAACAATAATAATTAGAACTCAATGGACCAAGGTAAAAATTTAACTTAGAAATAAAATTGAAGTATTTTACCATGTCTTAAATAATTTGAGGCCCATTTTAATTTTTACCCAGGAGTTAATTCTGCTGGAAATTTAGGTTGAATTTGGTTAATGTGGTTGCAGTCCGGAGGGATATACTGCATGACCCACCCACATGGATTATTACTGAAAAGGTTACCTGATAACAGATGGCACAGATATCATTGTGTTTCTCCAGTTGCTCTTTTGTAGCAATGGGTAATGATTTAATCTTATTCACAGCATCCCTGCGGAGAAGGAAGCTCTTCCACCCCAGCTGGGCCCGGAGCCACACGTTGTAGTAGGAATGGATGAAGATGATCATTGAGCCCATCACAGTCCATTCTCCAAAGATGGTCTCCGAGACACCATAGGCCACCACACAGAGGGCCACAAGGAACTCCAGCAAGCGGTAGGTGCCATTCACATAGTAGATGACATCATCCATGTTTTCCACTGGCTCTTTTCTGAATTCCTCAACCATAAATAAGACATAAATAAAAAGTGTTCCCAGAACCTGAAAGAAATGTATATATGTATTAAAACAGAATATGATAACTAAGAAACTTCTTCCACAAGCTTTAAACAATAACATATCCTTGGTCCTTTTAGGATACCATTATTTAAAATGTGAGGAGAAACACCCAGGAAAAGGTACATAATTATAATTGAAAGAAAAGACACCAGTACAATTAAAATGTGAATGACCTTGATAATGTTTTGACTCATTCAAACACCACCAAATCTACCTTAATTCTCCTCATGCTATTGTCATTCCTGCTCCTCAGTTCTCAAAGAGACTTTACTTCTTACAATGAATAAATTACAGGGCAGCACTCTATTTTCTTTGACTTCTTACTGATCAGGCAACAAAGACTGACCTTTAAGTTATAGAAAGCCTGTCATTGTGTGTGTATCATGCAAATAAGGGTATTTCAAGGAGGTATTTAACCTTTAAAAAATATAATTTCTTGACTGGAGGGAAACATTTTAAGAATCAATTATATAAAGTTAATAATCCTGGGCTTACCTGGAGAGAGGTGAGAATGCTACTGGAAATGATGATAAGAAGCCAAAAATCCATGTGGAAAAACTGGCAAATCATGTAAGCCATATAAGCAGGAAATACCAGTAAAAACAAACAAAGGCTTACAGCACGGAAGTGCTTCCATAAACTCCTAGAAGATAAAATTATTCTTTCAGAACATCTGCCACTGGGTCAAGCTGTTTATCAATTGCTTCGATTTCTTTAGCAGTTAAAAAGCTATCCATGCTTTTAAATTCTTAAGTCCCTTGTAGTAAGTACCATTTTTCTCAAAACTGTTCAATTTCATCTGTTTTAAAAAGTAATGCCATGTAGCTACTAATAGTTTTCTCTTACCATAGGCAATGGTGGGAGAACAGAACACAACAGTGGGTCTGTATTTCCTCTCACAAACCCAAGGGCAGCCTCCTCGTCTCAGGCTCAGGCTGCAGCCTCCCTGAATATTAACACAAACTGCACTTCCAAACAACTACCTTGGACCTTCACTCAGGCTTCCCGGTTTGCTCCCTTTCCTATGTATTTCCTCTACATTTGATTATAGAGAAGGAAGCCAGAAGTGAAGACAGCTCAGCATCCTCCCACGACCCAGAACTGGATCCGCTGCTTCCTATAGTTGTGGAATTCTGTAATTTTTTCTTTCACTTTCCCAAACTTTCTGTAGTATCCCATCAGTTCCATTAAAACACGCTAAATTAACAAACATAATTAATAACATATTTCCAGAGACAACAAAATACTAACTGTAAAGTCAAAGCAAACCATTTTTCAGTTTAAATGGCTATTTAACTGAGTTGAATTTGACATCCTAAACACTTCTACAGAGAAATATTAAACCTTAGAAACAAATCTAATTAAGTATAATTAACTATGATGACTTAGATTATCTGAAACATACCCAAGACCTGTGATCTTATTTAAATGATTCAGCGAACCTACCATTTGAGAAAATCTTACAGAATGTAGAGCAACGTGGATTACAGGGACACCAAGATAAATCTGATGAACTATACCATAAAATGTTACTTTGGAATGTTTAGAAATTTGCTATCACAATACTACCTCCCAAAAGACTGTCTGCTCCAAGCAATAGCAGAGATGTATTTCTATCATCAATAATCAAAATGTGGATAAAACATTAGAAATAGTGATACTGAATTTTAGGCAACTTTTTACATAATTTCCTTGCAAAAACTAGTATCTTTAAAGCACCGTTTTTCATTCCTTAGGAAAATTTCTATAATACAAGATGAACGTGAACCCAGCTATGAACTTCATTTGGTCCCAAACGTCAAGAATTTCTATAACCTCAGTAAGTTTCAACTACCTGAGAGCCCATCATTAAGATATAAACACCTATCTTTACTGCTATATGACAGCCTTTATTTTTCTCTTCTTCACTTGCATTTTTCTCAATGCTTCTCCTTTTGCACTACACAAAATAAAATGATCTATTAGTTGCTATGTTCACTGGACTATATATGCTCTATGTTTTTAATTTTAAAATTGGACATATATAAAAAAGTACTAATTTCTTCTGAAGAAAGACTTGTCTACGTATAACAGTCTGATGTGGCTTTTAACTATAAAAATATCGAGGAGGAAAAAGATTAGAAATGTCAACTAGTCAAACATTTCATAACAGAAGGGACATAAACTTGTTGAATTAATCTAAACTAATTCCAATTATCCATTTATTTTCCATCAAAAAGTAGTCATTAAATCTTGATATACAAATTCATGGAAAGAATACTAAAAAAAATTAAATAAAAAACATCAGGAAGTTCTTACTTATCTCTTGATGCTCCCAGCGCCAAGACAATAGGATCTGCAATCTCTAACATGGACTGGAGGATAGAGGCTACAACAATGAAAAGGATAATACTGAGCAGGAAGGCCCGGTGAACAACCTGCAGTTCTATCAGCCCAGTCTGCACTGCCAGTATTAACAGCGTCACTCCTTCTGTCATGCCCCTAAAAAACAAAATAGTAGACAGCCGCAGAAATAAATAATCTACATCTCATTGAACTCCAAAAGAAAATAATCCAAAGCCTTAAACAGTCACATACTTTTGAATCAATTATAATTCACACTAAAAGCTTGATCAGTATGTAATGTCACGTCTTGTAACAATAATGTGATAAGCTACTATTTTAGCATACCATGAAAGAGGAAAAAAAAACGCCAACTTCTAAGAAAAATATTTTTCTAACCAGACTATGTTAAGGAGCCAGGTACTTCTACCATGTGTAATAGCTATTAGAGCATACTATTATTCTTACATCATGAACTATATATACTAATTATAAAAGATAAAACATAAGCGAGTATCTTCATAATCTTGGAAAGGAAAACAGTATCTTTAAAAAGAAAACCATGAGAACCATAAGCATGAAGAGAAAGGTAACTACAAATATTTTTCAAAATTTAATTTCATTTTGAAAACTACACACAAAGTCATAAGATATTTTATTCTACTGGCTTGATTTATAAAGGACTCTCATAAAGAAGACATGAGCATGACAGCCAGGCGTGGTGGCGCATGCCTGTAAACCCAGCACTCGGGAGGCTGAGGCAGGAGGATCACTGTGAGTTTGAGACCAGCCTGAGATACATAGTGAGTTCCAGGTCAGTCTCAACTACATAGTGAGACCCTGTCTC